CTGAGAATTGATCCTCTTTTCGTGGTCATTCCGCCACGTCAGCAGATCTCTCTGAAGAATTTCGCACCTCTCGTGATTCCAACATTCCTGCGGACTCCGGTGCGTCCTCAGGGCGACGATCTCCCTCTCGGCCTGGGACAATCTGCGCTTAAGCTGTTCCACGGTGGTCTTCAAGGACTTGTCACGAAGACCAGTTTCCGCCTCGTCATTGTCGCCGGAAGCTTCCGCATGGAACACACATTCTTGTATATGACATAACAGCTATACATATTCCGTTTACTTGTGTAGTGACAATGTGGAATGTCGATAAAGAAACCAAAAAATTTTCTGTACTTCGTGTAACGTTTTAAATTACTCTTAAATTACATCTTTCATCTATTCGTTACTTTTTATATTGTATTTAAATTATATTTTGTATTGAGAATTGTGCGTTGTTTTTTAATCATTTTTTTATGAAAGCACCTGATGTGAAGCAGGAATAGCTGTCTTCAACTCTCCGAAGTTGATAATCTTGCTCCGTTCTTTCGTCTCCAGAGCTGCTATTCCCTATCGAATCAGTCTTCTTGTACTTCAAAATGTCAAATCTATATATCGAAGTATTATCGAATCTAACATTTTCCAAACCCAACGTGTGTCTCTATTACCTTCTATTTTTCCCAGTATTCTTTTATATGCTTCACAAGGAGGCTTTATCATCGAATTGTTGTCACTTCCTTCCGATTCGCTAACTACAAAGTTGGTGGACGCTTCTTTGGAACGCAGTGGTGATTCGGATACCTCTTCAATAGGCGACAAATTATAAATTTCGAAATTTTCCTCACTTGTTTGTGCATTTCTGTTATCGCTTCTCATGCATTTATCGATTTCTATATTTTATAAAACACGTGTCTCATATTTCAAATATAAAGCCGTGAAATTCAACAATTCAATGTTATACAAATATTTTAATAATTATTTATACACGTTTGTGTAAGTTTACATTTTCATTAAAATTTTACAAAAAAAAAATTCATACTAAAATAATTATGAAAAAAAAATCGGTGTGTTAAAATTTTTATATTAATCATTCTTCTACTCAAAATTATATATTAATTTTAAACAATAGAACTAACCCATAGTCATCTCACTATTGACTTACAAAGTCTCTTCATAAATTTATAACAGAAGTATTTTTCCCACTAATCTTTCTCATACGTCGCGCACCTCGACGCCGATAATAGAAAAGAATCCACGTTCTTCCGTTCGCGTCCTTTGAACGTGCTTGCTCAATCGCAAGAAAAAGAAGCCGGCAAGGAAAGAGAGGATACGGTGTACAACGGCAGAAGGAACAAGAAGGAGCTTAATGGCACTGTAACTCCGGTAGCGGGCAATTTTCAATTTCGCTGACTCGCGCGGAAGTAGCTTTCCCACCTCCGTGGCGGAATTGAGACGCGACTACGAGTCACGGGGCACTTGGCACCGCCGGATTTGACATGGACAGCTGGTCGCATTGGACACGTTAGAAACACCGTAGGGAAAAGGAGCGGATTTTCCCGATAGTCGTAAAATCTCAGCCCTTTCACTATTTAACTTCGATATCCGTCTCTCTTGAAGCTTGCTTAAAAAATATATAATTGCTATTTAACATTATAAAATCTAATTTATTCTCGAGATCAAAATAAAAATGTTTTCCAACGCGATAAGATAGGACAATTTCGGGTGGGATATGAAATAATAAAATATGATTTGCTGTCACGATAAACGTCGAAATAAATGCGTTTTCCATGATCGTATAATTTAATTTAATTGAGTTCTGCGCTCGTGATGAAAACGAATACATAATCAACGCCAATTTAAAAAAAGTCAGTATTGAGCTAACATTGTTTATCGATGCTCAATTGCCGACATCAAATACGTATTGGCCCGTATTTTCAATATTAACGAATCTCATCTGAGATGCTACACTACAAATGTGAAAATCTTACTTTCCTTGTGTATACGATCTGCATATTGCATCGTAAAGATCTTCAAGATTTAATTATAAAGCAGTCACCCATAAAAATCCAAAATAAGCAATAAAAATCTCTATAAAAACATATGTAGTACGCAACAACTGTAACGAAGACGCTTCTTCGTGTTCACGTCAGATATTGAGGTTATTCAATTGCCGGTTCTCGCGATGTTCGTTCCACACATGCGGAAATGACAGCGGCGGCCGCTCGTTCGCGAAACGCGCGCGTGGCGAACCGTGAATGCAGATCGTTGCATAAAATTAAAAGAAGAATGAGCGGTAAGTCGCATTAGACGGGCACGGAGATAAGAAATACCGAAGCTCGCGAGCCCTTCCACCCGATATCCCAGTTTTGCGGAATCGGCCGCGTGAGAACACCTGCGGCTGTATGGCAAGGGAACAAGAGCGGCCGGAGGAGAAGAGTGCAACCAAGACGCCTTGTACGCCTTGTACGCAGCAGGTGAAAGAATAAACGCAAGAACAGTAAGGAGCAAGGAGTCACACGGTGCGCTATGGGCATAGCGGTTCCAGAGCGGTAGATACTCTCGGATAATGCGCTCATTTGCATAGGCGGGAGCATAAATGAAAAGCAATGCGGCGTAATACATTACGGTAATACTTGCGTTAGCATATATAGGTAAACAAACACGAGCTTCGAGCCGGTGAATCGATCCTTTCGGCCGGATCTGAAGTAATCCGCGATATATCGAAAAAATTTTTATTCTAATTAAAAGACGTAATATAAATTTCCGATAATTTTATATCAAATATGATGCAATAAAAAAAAATTAAGAGATAAGCGCTTCTCGCGTCAGTTAATATGTATGTGTGTGTGTGTGTGTGTGTGTGTGTGTGTGTACCAAATTATTAGTGAGAGATATAGCTTGTATATTGTAGTACTTGACAGAGAAGATTGAAAGAATTTTCTGACAATTGCCGGAAACAATTGAAGTAAACTCCATTTCGTCCGTCGATTAAGTTTGTTTAATACTTGTGCAGGCCAAATTCCATGCAAATGGAAGAAAGAGAACGGGTTTGCCATTGTTTTATCAGTTCGACGGAATGCCGATAACGGAGGTCGTGAGACCGTTTGTTAGCAATCGCGAGAAGATCCGTGGAAGAAGAGAGGAATTAACGAGCGTTACGTTACGCGATTGTACTCGTTGCCGTTACTCGATTGTAAAACGATGTGATCGAAACGATTATCGAGTTAAATGAATTGCGAATTAATGTACATATATTATCACTCGCAAAGTTCGGTTTTAATTGTCTAATTTAAATTATATTCCGAAATAGCCAAAGACGTTAGCAATGTTAGCAGATTGACAGCAAAAAAGATTAACTTCCTCTTTCCGCAGCTTAAAATGTATATTATAAAATGAAAATTTTACTCGTTTATAGAACGACTTCGCTCGTCCATGACGACGGTCGCACCAATCAGATTTCCTTAGCATGTAATGAAACTGTAATCAAACATCCTTACCCAAATCATTCACTTTCAAGTTCACCTGCTACGAGAGCGGACATCGACATCCGGTTATTGCACCGGCACAATAGAGGAGACGCGCGATGAACCACGCCGAAAGTGACTCATCTATTCCGCTGTAAGCGGCTACCGTGCAGTCGATTGACTTCGATGATGACAAGACCGCCTCTTCGAGCCACTCGACTTGTCACCGGCTTGGAATGAACATAAAATTGCAGAAAAACGCGTCGGCAATTAAAAAAACAAACAAAAGAAACAAAAGCAACGTTTACAATTAGTTGAACGCCCACAGCTTGTCGCCGCCACGTCAGGCTGTGGACATTCAAGTAACTGTCGTTAATTAATTTTGTGCGGAACGTGGATATCCGTTCTTTCCGTGAAAAAGAGATAACCGCAGACGGATGTACCTGCCGAAGGTTGACGCCGATTCTTCAACCTTGGCCGATCTATTCTCAACACTCTCCAGCCTTCGGCACGTTCAGCTGCGTCGTCCTCCTCTCTTCGCCCTCTTAGTTTTCGTGGCAATTAATTCTTCCACAAGAGAGACTGCCGCGAACACCTTGTAATTTCGCCGTCATTTTTCGCGCGATCGTGCGCTTTTAGACGTTGTTATTATATTTTTAACATTTTTCGATTCAAACAAGCGAACGATGAAAATTTGTATTCTGTCGACGCGGCCGCGATAAATATAATACGACGAGCGGTGAGTTGAAGTACGGTTTTTCGCGGGACCGTAACTGGTCAGAAACGCTACGATCGAAAAGCAACGGAAGCTGCATGGATATTCCGAGAATATTCGCGGGAGGAGTTAACAGTATCGTACCGATGCGATCCTGATGCGACTATCTTACCGTGGCGGTACCCACGGCGCGAACGAACGATCAAGCGAATAGCGGCCGTGAAATCGCGATACGACGATACTTCGTGTCCGTATAGAATGATTAGAAAACGAAGAGGAGTGATTCTCACGAGACTCGCTTGATCAGCGGTCTGTTCTTGCCGCTTTTCTTTGTTCAGTCCCACTCGGACATATTCCAAGTGACTTCTATTTTATTAAAAATTTAATATAATTACCAGTTATTAATACAGGGTGATTCAAAATAACCTGATGCTTTGCAATGCCATATTCTTGAGCGAATTCTGAGACAATTTTTCCTTTTACAAAATTTTGTTCGAAGCTAAGTTTTCGAGTTATAATTGAAAATAGCTTGCTACTTACAAGTCCGATACAACGGACAGGCAGGGACGAACAATGCGTCATGAGACGATAGTAAACACTTGACAGTCTCATTATACGTTGCGCGTCCCTGCCTGCCCGTTGTACCGAACTCGTAAGTTGCTATCTATTTTCAATTATAACTCGAAAATTAAGTTTCGGACAAAATTTTGTAAAAGGAAAAATTGTCTCAGAATTCGCTCAAGAATATGGCATTGCAAAGACATCAGGTTATTTTGAATCACCCTGTATATTAAACCAGTGGCGGGATTAAAAGGGCAGCTTGATTTAATAAAGAATCAAAGAAAATCAGTGGAATATCCAATCTTATTATTCCTAGTTCGATTAAAACAGCTTTTTCGAAATACAGAAAACCAGTTGAATTCTTCAGAACCAGTTTGTGCGTGATACTTTTCAATATCCAGTAAAAAGAATAAGTAGCGGATTAGAATATAAGAAATAAAACTTTTTCCCTTTTCAGTTATGTTGCATAAAAAGTACAATCTCTCCCTTGGATGCTAATTATATTTGCTTCGTGCGAAAGTTGTGCTGCATTAAGGAAATGTGATATTACCGTAAGATCCGCCGCAACACTTTCGATCGTGCAACCAACACCAGAAATCTATATCGGTGTTAAACGAAGCTGTTGATGAAGTAGTTGCAGGTGCAAATCGTCGTTCGGATACGACGCATGTTCCCAAGTACGTGTCGACTTTTAATGTAGACATTAGGTCGCCGATGGATGTTTGCGTGGACGTAGCGGACAGAAGAAATGCAGACACGTTTTTCCACTGACTGGTACATGTGTGCGTGGTGTTCGCAGCGCATAGTTCCCTTCCGCAATTTATGCGGAATGCAGTCTCGGGCGCCACGGAGCCCTTATACAATGAAAGCGCCGTAAGGAAGGTTGCGGGCATTTTAAACTGCATCTCTCTCGCGCGCGCATTTAGCTGTTAATGAAACGCTACGTGGTTTCCGTTAGCAGTTAAACGCCCGTGCAGTTTAATTATATAACGCGCGCCGCGTAATTGCCGCGTGAACGCGATGCGATAAAAGCGATTACTTTCATCCAGTTTCCACATACTAACTGTCGAAATGCGAGTTGCGATCGAGAGAAAGGAACAATTATATAATTCTCTTATTAGCGATATATTTGAGATATGAATAGTTCATTCATTTTACACTTGTGCGAAAGGCACGAATAATAGTTGTTCGATAGAACAAGTGATTTTGCAGTCACAATGGTGATAAAATACGCACGTATACGAAACGTATATTCCCATCAATACGCATAGTCATCTTAAGATAATAACTTTTATAAGGTGTATCACAGTGTTCACGTGTACCGGTAAAAAATATGAGCAATTTATAAACCTTGTAATAGCTAAGTTGCTGCGATAAATACTCGAAATCACCCATTGATTATAAAATATAAATTCACGCGAAATATCATAAAACAATGACGTAAAGGCGACATAAATAGCACAACATACCTCACAGTTTCTCACATAATTTATGATCTATTTGTATATTCAAAAACATTCAAGATATTTCCAGTAGAAACCTATTCGTTAAGAGTTGAAAACAGAGTACAACATACAAATGCACTTGAGGGCAACTTACGCTTTCCTTGCACAGCTCCCTTGCTTTTCCGTTAGGCGTAGATTTACTACGTGCGCGCGAGTTTACGTACGCCGGTACATTTTATTACATCGATCGACGGAGATGGCGAGGTCCTAAGATCGGCGATAAAGCTGCGTCCACACACGAAGAGAGGATAGAGGAGAGCGAGCATGTGGGTGAAGGCTGGAGGGCTCTCCAGGATGTGTCGAAAGTGAAACTCAAGGCCTCGTGCAGTCTTTCGTTGTGTGGTGCATGTATATGCATGACCATTGTCCGCCCTCATACGAGTTCGATCATAGTTCGCGATAAGCTTCGATCCAGGTCCTTGGAGCCTCCGGTTCGGCTCTGCTAAACGATCGTGCGTTTCTCAAAGACGTAAACGTTATTTCAGGAGTGACGATGGAAACTTGATGTCAGTTGAGCAAGTTGATTGATGCGCCTTCTTAAATTCATTTCTTAAGATTCCGCTTTGTTTCCTTAGCAAAACAGCAATCTTTACACCGCGTGCTTGCGTGTACTCGGCAGGAAATACGTAAGAAGTATGCATACTAAAAATTGTATTATACTCATGTGAGAGATGATAAATCAACCTAGGAACGAGCTATATGTAGCTAAAAATTTGCATAATTCTTTTCAGAAGCATATTAATGTTATTATGTAGTTTTTAAAATTATAAAATTATTCGACGGACTATAATTCTTTTAATTATATTCACTGCTTAACATTTTATTAAAAAAAAAAAAAAATACTTACGCAAAGTGAAGCACGCAAGATTAATAATCGGTGTTACACAGCCATACGCGAGTAAGATAGGGAAAATAAGATTACCAAGCATAGCTCCTATTCTTCCAACTATCATTTGCATGCTCACCGCCATCGCTCTGACAAATAAATATAAAATTAAACATACGGCATTGATTGTTTATATTTTGTTAATTTAAATAACAAACCTTAGAGATGTAGGAAAAAGCAAAACAGTTGCGCCAACCACGACGTTAAAAGTCAAGCACAATAATCCAAGATTCAAGCATGTAAGTACAAGAGTGGTTAATGTATTTGTAGACCAAATTAAAGATATCAGACATAGAAGCGCGCATCCGTAGCTAATGACTATTATCGAAAACAATTATGAAACATTAGTATTTTTTATTTTTCAAAGTTCTGCAGTATAGAAAATAAAATTGAGGAAAACTTACGTGATAGATATTTGTGTTCAAGAAAATTGACAAAAACGCTGCCAGACAATATAAAATACTAGAAGTGGTTGCGACAATAACAGTGTCGATGTATGTCGCATCTGAGACAATAATCTGGAAAAATCAACTTATAAACAAAAAACGTAATACCTCCAAAATATAAATATACTTCGATTTCAAAATATTCAATTAATTTTTTATCGAATATCTTACATTTTCACAACTTGATATTTCTTCAAACGCGACAGTTTTATTTAAATCAGACATCGTTGTAGCAGATGTCGAAATATCTAATATTTCACAGAAAGTAGGATTAGTTATATTAGTGTCAAGATGGTCAAAGTTGTGTATTGTCGCAAAAAGTTGTGGCTGCCAGAGGCGAAGAGTGTTTAAACTGAAAATACAAACAAAGGTAAAAATATATATATTCAATATAAATGTCACAGCAAAGTCGCATCGGCTGTTTAAAATGTGCATTAAATAAACATTAAATTAAGTAAATGTTTAAATATATAAATAAAATCAATTAAAGTATGATATATTTCTTTGAATCTTTTAAGTAATTTATCAATAACATTTATTATTTTTTAATTCTATCGTAATAACTGTGTGTCAATATATGCAATTTGTTCTTTTGTATGGCTATTCAAGTAAAAGATAAAAAAGTTTTCATCCGTACGTATCGTACGAGCACACGTGAAATGACTTCATAATATGCTATCGAAAATCGTATTGCTTAATCTGAAATCCATCTCTCTCATTTTCGTTGTTATCAAGATCTACATCAACGGAAAATTTTCGTCACATTCGATGCATCCAGGGATAAAAAAGAGTATTTAATTTAATCGCAAATTGCACAATTAACCCAACAAACAGGTTTATTTTTATTGCCGCCGCCGGCTTGACATCCTTTAATTTAGTAGAAGATTATAGTAAACTTCTGAACCGAGGACAAAATGTGTATTCAGTTTTATTTTCGTCTGCTCGGCTGACACCCTTTAATTTAGTAGAAGAATTTAGTAGAACTCGTGATACATGAAATCCGTGGCGATGTGTATCCAGATAATGGGAATATATTTCAGTTAACAATGCGAGATATGGAGAACAGATGTTTGGTATCTCTCGCGCTGATAAAGTCGTAAATTTTCGAGTCTCTCATTCAGCGGCATTTATACGACCAACTGTAGTCTTAAATTTTTACGACAAGTCATCTGTCTTATTGTATCTCGTAAAAACTGTATGCGATTCTACATGAGTATTATGTGGATACACGTGCATTGTCGCTACTACTGCATTACTCACAACTCTGATAACTCTAATTTATGACACGTGGCGCGACGTGACAATCACCTTACAGAATTCACAATTAATGTGCAATAATAAAAAAGCTCGATCCTATTTCTACAATATTATTTATAGTCATTATAAACATTTTTTCTAGATAAGTAATAAAAATAATTAATAAATTGAATTAAATTAAATTATACCAAATTTACGTAAAAATTTAAAAATAATTTAGGCAACGCACAACATTTTATAATTTATATGAATAATCGTGTACTCACCACAACATTCCACCGAATTGTATGGTAACAAGTAACAAAATACGCGACAGATGTGGGTTCGAGCAAAGAGGCTTCATCTGTTGTATTCCATTCTTAAAGCATGACTTTGTACTCTTTTGAGATTCTAATGAATTCGATTGCGTTGTAGTTGTATTATTCAAATTGACATCGCCCAAGGCACGTATCTAACAATAGAAAATGTGTAACAATATGTTTTTTTTTATATTTCATCAATTATGATTATAGTATGCGCTTACAGGATAATCATCCTTAGGCAGACCAGTGTTCATACTATAGATCCTCTTGAAAACCTCGAGTGCCTCCTCATTACGATTCTGTGTCATTAAAAACTTGGGGCTCTCCGGGAAAAAGCAAAGGCAAATGATGCCTAACAATGTCGATACTCCACAGAGGGACAGAAATATTCTCCAGGAATTATAAACGAAGGCACCGTCCCAAAAGACAAATAACCATGACTGAGGAACCACCATCCATGCCAATGCTAGTCACACATACATCACAATAAATATTGGTTATATAAAAAAAAAACCGGATCTATATAAAATACATTACTCATTAATAATCGTTGCGTGACTTATGTTCCATAATACATAAATATAAAATTGTTTTACCTGCATTAACTACACATCCGACTGAAACGGAGAAGCCGACAATAAGCGGAATTTTCGTTCTACCTTTGGCGCCGTAAAATTCTGAGCAATACGCCATAAGAGTGGCATGTGGTCCACTTACGCTAACAATGATAATATTAATTAGTCGAGTGGTAATTTTTAAGCGATAAAGATATGAGACATAAAAAATGGTGTAGATTATATTTAACAAACTAATAATTAAAAATAAAAGAATAATATTTAAATTGATTCATTTTTTTTTTAACAACTATTGTCGAATTAACATAATAGCAATAATAGTAATTTTTCTCTTACAGAAAGCCACTGAGAAATTTGAAGAACACAAGCGTCTCAAAATTTTGTGAAAAACCTGCGAGTAGATTGCAGATACCATCTGCCATGTAACCGTAAAATATAACATTTTTTCTTCCTTTAACGTCGGCGAGGTATCCCCATATGAAACCACTCAACACCATACCTGATACAATATTTTAATATAATATAAATAGATGTTATGTTATTTTAATACACTGCACTAACTAATATTAATTTATATTTAATATTTGATAACATAATAGTTCCGTTATTATCTCTAATAATTTAAAATGTGCTAAGAATAATTGAAAATTGCACGCACCGACATAAATGACAGCATTTAAAAGCCCTTTGTTAAACAATGACAATCCTAAATCGCATTCCGCCGATGAAAGTATCATAGACATATTACCCGTATCTATGCTCGATGCCCATGAAGCTGGGATAATCGCAAGAATAAGGAGATACTGGAACTTTCCGGTTCCAGCGGCGGAGATTGCCATTTCAAAATCCGCAATTTTCGTGTTCGACACATCTTCGATTATAACTAACAAATAAAAACAGACATTATCGATGATAAAAACTCAAATCCATGTCGGAAATAATTTCGCAGCTTCTCGTAGCTTCAAAAAAAAAAAATGTTATAAAATTCCTAAATTATTACTATTTTAATGGCATCTATTTCTGTTTACAAATGTTTGAGTCGAGTACTTACTCGAATCCCGTGTTTCTTGGATTTTCTTCTTCTCTGACACATCAGTGGAACCAGATTTGTTATTATGCACCATTGTATATAAAATCTCTTTTATATGAAATATCAAAAAATTATCACATAACACATAATCCACAAATCGACAGAAGACTTTTCTTAATTTTTGATACGCGCGCATCAAAGCGAGAGCTCATTTAAATAACCCGTCATGAAAGAAGCGTTCGATAACAATGATTATATGTAGCGTGCATAGATTCTATTAAAGGATCTCTGACGCGCAAGCTGATGAAATCATTCCGCTTTCAAAGACGTTTCCCTCCCCCTATCACCTTCTTGAACTGATCTTTTAATTTCTCGCAAAACAATTTTATCACTTGAGTAAACTCATACTTTCAACCACCTGATTTACTATGTACATATAACGCCAACGAATTTATATTTGTCAGCGAATCGATCAATGATTTAATCAGAGGTGTACTTATATTTTTCAATTTACATTTCGTTTTTATCAACATGCACGAATTTAGTTAGAGTCTAGAAATTAGTTTATATATTAATACATAATATGTATTCTTAAATTGTAATAAAAATATATCTAATTTATTACAATTAAATTGCAAAATGCTTAGTGAAAATTTTAAAATTATCTATCAATTTTGTTATTTTGTTGATGGAAATATTTGTAAATCTATAAATTTATATGTACAAAATATAATAATTACAAAGTGAAATATGCTATATTCTTTTTGTAAAATTCGCATGAACGTGATACTAATAAACCTACTATTAGACCTAAAATAACGTTCTATTACGTTCGACAAAGAAGCAAAACCAAAGAAACCGTCAAACAACATATAATCGACTTCGTAATCGACTTCGAGTTCCACTCAACATTCCATATTTTCACGTACTTAAGTTACGATATTCGAAGAATGCGGTAGCTCTTTTTCTATCGTTTTCCGTGCCAGCAAGCAAATGCACAGATCTTTCTATATTTACGACTTCGGTTCTATCGAGTCGTGGAAACAATTTCATATAACGTAAAACATTCTCAACTTAATATTTTTCGAAGCATTTGTCAAAAATTGCAGCTATTTTTGTTCATTTAACTCAAGCTATTAATATTTTTTTGGCAATGTGTAACAAAAATGATTTTCCAGCTAGTTTTGTAAGTAAAAATAATAATATAAAATATTTACTAAAGATGTAAAGTTTAACATTTTTGATGCTCAAGATTATATTGATCAAACAAATTATGAATATGTATGATCATAAATTTCTTTATTAAATATTAGTCTGACTAACATATAATTCATAACATACATCAAAGTATTCCTCAAATAAATTATAATAAGGCACTCTTCAAATTCATAATTCATTCGATAAGATGTTGTAAAACAGACTAAATCCTGAAAAGTCCCTCAATCCTTAACCAAGCAGTGTTTGTTATCATTTATAATCCTTATTTTCTATTTTCCTTCCAATTTTTCTATTTACCCATTACTCGTGATTTTATTAATAATTAATCTACAAATATCAAAAGCAAATCAGATTTGCATCAGCAACTAATCATCCGTAAATATCCAAAATATTATTTTACTTATTAGTCTTATTATTTTTATAAAAGTTTAAAATTACATAAAATTATACGTAAGATATCGTAGATCATTCATGACAATAGATTTTTAGAAATCTCATATCAACGCTCTTTATCTCTTGCCTGACGCCTAATTTACGAGATTGTTTTACGAATATGAGGAAGCTTTTATTTCCATCAAACGTTTGATAGTAACATTCCTAGTTTGTCAAGGTTTGTCAAGGTTTGCTTATTGAGATTTATCAAAAAACGCCGAAACATCTGACTGAAATTTTTTATCGATAACTACAATTTTTGTACGACAAATTAATCCGGCTACAAAATAATAAAAACATACGTGACTGCTGTATGAGATTAGATAAGTCTGCTAAATATGCAAAGCACATAGAGACAAAAATAAACGCATGAATAATATTAGCTTTTTAGTAACACTTGCGAAACCTTCAGAAAAATATTATCGACAAGTTTTTTATACGTATGTATCACTCTTCGATCTGATACGATAAATTATTTTTTAAATAATGCTTATCGAGTTCATCGTGATTAAATTCATTGCAGAAAATGCTGCATTCTTTTCTTACGCGTTCATAATATCTACATTTAAATGGTAGCGGAGAAGATTGGATGTCTATTAGACGATCTCTAAGCACGTACTAACCGCGTGCAAATGGCCATGTGACTAATTGTAGTCAAGTACATGACTCGTGTAATTAACACTCTGATATGATATATAGATAACATCAGGAAGTTATTTGGAATTAAAAGTAAAAATCATTACACGTAGCAATCCTCTTTAAAAAAATACAAAATGTTATATGTAATATGTAAAATCTCTATGCACAATCAAATATAAATGTAATATATTGTATGATCACGTCACATAATGTAGTCACGTAATTTAATCTACTTGATAACTCTTAATGTGTACCGGGATAAATATGATGATAACCGTATGTAAAAGACAGTTTGATATCAAAATTTTCCTCATGCATGGATTATTTTAGCATTATTAGCCGACTATTATTAAATATATACTTTTCAGAAGTAATTTACGATGAGTTACAAGTTTCCGGCATTAGTTTTTCCAAATCGTAACGTTCTGAAGAATATTTCTAAAAATTCTACTTAGAGTCACACGTAAATACACAGTTTTCTTGAAATAGTTAATACAGTTATATTAAAGAAAGTAATCTAAAATTGATATTTCAAAATAAACTCATTTCCGATTTATATCAATAATATTATTTCATTCAAGCATTTCATTACAGAACCGTGGAAATCTATTCATTCGTAATACGTTCCGTGCTAGCTGCATCTTGATATCCTGCAGGTGACTCAGCTTTATGCAAAGAGAAGAGGTGCTGATTACTCCTCAACCTGTATTCTCGGGCTTGGCGATACGACATCGACTGCATGTATTTGACCACCTTCGAAGAAAGAAAGAAAGAGAAAAAGATACAAGGTTAGCGTATCGCAAGAAGGCGAAGTTCGTTTCACCAGAGTAATTAAAGTTTCCTGCATTTGAACCGCGGAATCGACGTTGCGTGACAAGTGACCTGCTTTTTGACCATTGGTACTTTTGTCGAACAAAAAGAAATAAAAATCTCCTTTTTACTAAATTAATTAGGGTCAGCATTGAATAGCTCGTATAATCCAATGCTCACTGTGTCGAAGGTCGCGCTAAGGATGCTTAAAACCGATAGGAATCATTAACAATAGACGTGCCGGCTAAATAAAAGTTCGATTAATTAAATAAGATAGCTGGCTCGTGTACGAGATTTCCAATAAAGAGTTAAAATTACTTCCAACGCTATATTCAGGTCAGATATTTCAGTTAAACAGGACACGTGTTTGTTAACAATTTATCTAAAATAAATAATACACAGTAATAAAAGTAGTAATTTTTCAAACGTAGACACATATAAATTTATAATGTATAAAAACCAACAAGAAAAAAGAATTATAACCTTTAATGGCATTGTCGCCATCGAGCTGTCTATATAGGCGAAACAAGAACGATAAAAAGAATTTTATTGAATGTAAGCACAATCAATATTCCATGCGGAAGTATGAGAGACAAGTAATAAACTCCATGATGGAGTCACGGAAGTTTTGTGATTCAGTTTGATAATTAATTATACGCTCCGCAACATAAATCTCTACTGTCTAGGTGCACATTAAGCGAAATGTTTCATGTAGAGCGTTTTGCGCGATCAATGTGTTCCATAATGAGTACGGCCGACGAAATGAATTAAAGGTCCTGTCTAATTATCGAGTACGCCGTTGTTTTTTTGGCAAACAAAACAAAACTTTGTGCAATAAATAGAGACGGAATATTTTCACTTTTTACCAATGACTTAATATTTTATATCTTTTTATAAATGTTTATATTAAAAAAATTTATACTAGCAAACATTGACTTATTTATAAAATATAGGAAGCAGCGGCTCATTCCCGAAAGATCCGTCTTTCTATTCATTACAGTCCAAATAACTAATATTTTCTTCAAAACCGTGCACAGATTAATTATATATCAAAAAGCTGAAAAATTTGTAACCTTATTGTTGTAATCGAGGTAGCCTGTTAAGATCTCACGCGCGATACCACCGCCAATACTTAGTAGCAATATTCTTTGCCATAATATCTTGTTGAGAAGCCACTTAAATTTAATCATAGTGCAACTGAAATGTAATCACATAATTATGAAATAATGATACATTGAAAGTTGTGCTAATTGGTTAATGGATATCTCTTACTCGATACAGTCTATACATCCGTTAAAAGGTTATTTGTCAAGTAAATACATCTTGCAAATTATAAGCACTAAATATTATTATTTATTTATGAACACAAATGTAAACGCTGAAATTTTTAATAGGACCAGACGGAGTTTGATAAACAGAATTTGCGATAAACTTCGTATTCAACGAAGTTTGCTATTTGATAATAAATAGGTAATGAGAAAAAAGTTCGAAAAAGTTAAAATTCTTGATTTCTATTTAATTATTTATAAAATAAAATATTTATCTCATAAATGAGAAAGAGAGAGAGAGAGAGAGAGAGAGAAAGTATCAATAAAAAAATGTATTCGTCAATCACACTGTGCTGATAGTGACCTCTATGCATCTACCAAAACAATATTGCAAATTGTAAGAAATGTCGGTAAAATATTCTTCTTTTTTTAATTAATATTAGAAGATCATTATGTAAAACATTTTTTTCTTCAATAGTTATTTCAACATAAAAGATACAAAACATATACTTTATATCTATAATAATTTACATTTATTATATTAAAAAAATTAAATATATAATATTCTTTTAAATTTTATATAGTTATTTATAGAAAAAAGAGGAACATTTATATACAAATTACGTTAATATATTAGCATTATATGATAATATGATTTTCAAATATTATCTTTTCTTTAATTATCACGAATGTATATAATAAAATCTCTTATTATAAGTTTATTTCACAAAGTTTCTACAGCCACCAAAGTATATTTAAATTAATTAGCGCCCTTGCGTGAAAGGGAAAGGGTTCTCACAACCAGAAACGAGTCATATTCAAGATCACGTGACCATTGAATAACTTTACTCGATAAGTTTCTGTAAAAGATAAATTCTCGATATAAAACCGACCTCGATTTTTCGAGCTATTTCGAGCGCAATTTTTACTATTCGTGACACTTCTCATTGCCGCAATTACAAATATGCGCGTCGAAATCCGCGCGTAAGCTCAAAAGCGACATCGCAACGGCAATTTAGATACGCCATGCAACCGCGAGACGTCGCCAGTATCGTGACACGATGGCGTCCGGTCGATAAACGGCGAACGGACGAGTATCCGGAGGTGCTCTCTCGGCTTTCGCGTGTGCTCACAGATCGGAGCAGGCAATTCGTGACCGGGTCCGCGACGAAGTTGTGACAATCCTTATTCGCGGCGACGAGAAAACTGTGCGAGAAACGCGGCGGGCGCGGGTGCAATAATATGTCGCGACGACGAGCCGCGTAATCAATCGCGCGCGTCGCACCGACGGGGAGCCGCCGCCCGCGGCACATTTCGCGCGACAGCAGCGTCGAAACATGCGTCCGCTGCGGGGCGACGGGAACCGAGCGACAACCGAGGAGGCTCCTTCGAGGAACTGTCAGGGGGACCGTCGCCACCACCATCGCCGCCGACGCCGCCACCACCGCCGTTACGCGTGAGTCAGTGCAGGATCGTACGGAGGCGACGCACGCAAAATGGCTTCGGGCGACAATGTAGACGTGATCGAGGTGGTTGAGACGACGAGCTTTCCCGGCCCGGCGCAACCCACGGTGGATCACCTCAGACCGGACCAGGCCATCGTCGAGGAAGACTGTGAGTCTCCTGTGCTTCGTGGTCTCTGTGTGTCCCTCTCGCATGAGCGCGACCTAACCTATAACCGTGACTCCGGATACCGTATCAGGTGTCGTTTCTCGTTCGACGACGATGCTCATCGAACGGAGATTTTCCCGGATCCGTCGACCGCACGTCCGCGATCGGATTGTCGCGTCTCACATACGGCAAGACAAGCGCGTCGCGCTTGATTGAAGCCCGCTAATCCGCCGTTTTGCGGTTTGACAGCTAATGGGTGTCACCCGACCTACAAAGCGCGAACGTAGGAATCCGTGTCATCGTCTGGCGAGGAACGCACGTCGTTAAAATGCACGCCGCGCGTCGCCGCGACTCCTTCGCTGCTCCGATTTGCGGAGCGATCGATCGGAGATAAATTTGACAATTCGAATAACCTTCCTGTCATCTGCTTGTAACTTGTGAATCGAGCCTTCGACGGGGATATTTATTTTGTTTTGTTTCACGCTACTGAATCACAAGATGGTAGAAATTTAAATAACCATAGACATTAAAGAGACATCACACGCAGACAGCGCATATCACGATTCTTTCTTCTCTTAGATTTTTCAATTAGATTGATCGATCGCAATTTGACAGCTGATAGCTGTTGATGGCAATGTCGAATTACAGCGCGTGGGAGCAGAAACTCTGCTTTCGCGCTTCGTGATTTTCGAGAAATTTGAAACGCTACTTAATTCAACGTAAATTACGCTAAAGTGCGCGTCACCGTTAAAAGAACCTGATGACACAAAAATGAATGACACAGCCAAGGAATTTATGCTGTCGCAATGATTTGTCGTTGAAATGGAAATTAGTTTTAACATGTTAACTACACATACATTATCACTACACAATACGCATATTTGAATACAGTTTTACATTACATTTATTGTGAAATAAATTCTTTTATACATCTTTATAAAACACAATGCATGACATACTTTCGTTCTGTATCGTTTTATATTATGTAATTATAAAGATATACAACATTAAAAAATATAGATTTCTCTGAGAAATTTAACCAGTAGAAATATGAATACATATATCTTTATTTTTTTATTTATTCTTTTAATAGATTTTTTTAATCCCGATAAATAAATTCTAATAAATTAATGAAAGAGGAATCAGTTTTTAATATCGACAATTTAAAAAATATTGTCAAAAATCTCTTTAAAATAAAATCACCTCTGAATTTGTTGGTGAATACAGATTTAAAGTTTTATGTAAAGCGCGTTCATGAAATTTTAATGAGTCGCTGTCATTGAGAATAATTAAGGATAAATTTGAGTTTCGGAGTCATCGACCGAGCGTTCGTGTTTCGTCTTCGTATCGTCATGTCTTCAACCGTAAATTCCGTTTGATTTCCACTCCAATTTAATCCACACGTGACGGACCAATGAGCATAACGATCGATGGATACGATCACATTTACGCCGGTGATTCGACGCGGTGTGATTTGCTAGTCGCAACTACGAGTTGAGAGCTCGCCATTTGATATTTGATAGGCATCGAAGCAGCGACAAAATAGTACGTGGAAACCCGGATTGTGTCGTGATCGTGATACCGAGATAATGTCATTATCAGATTCTCATCACAAGCCGTCGTGTTCATCGGAGAATAGATTTTTTCTTTCACTTCAGGAAATAATAGATAGAAAAGTGGAACACGTCGCCGGCAAGCGACTTTGTGCACTGTGTTTCTTTTGTTCGAACGATAGCAACTTCCCTCTTATCGAGTGAAAGCTTTTCCGTTCGGAAAACCTTTCCGCGTTGTGTTTATTTGCATTAGAGTCATGTTTACGCACGGATAAAAAATTTTATTCGAATTTCGTCTATTTTTTTACTTGATCTTCACGCATTTCGCGGACGGAAGTAATTGCATTTATCTCTCCTTGAACATGTCCATTATGATTATAAATTATGATATGGAATGTCATAATACATATTCAATTTCTTACTTCCGTCTTCAACTCAGACGAGCAGTATGCGCACATTCCTGTCGTTCACATCCTTGAATATTATACAGCGTATAATATTATTCGAAATGTTTCATTTTCTTAATCACTACGTTAAATTGAAAAATTATGAATAGGAGAATCTTCATTATGTCTCTCGTCGAAGAATGCTTTTATTAACTCAAGGATAGGAATCTCGGTAACTGGTGTTTTTACGTAACGCGATTCATTCTGCTTGGCTAAAAGGGAGATAGTTTCTTTCGAAATACGCGAGCCGCGGTCACTTCTGAAAAGACTCTTCTATATAAACACCGCGCGTTGCGCGTAGCTTCCGAAAATTCATTGGCGATGTTGCGGTTAATGGTGCTTTCGCTGGCACCGCGTTGTGTTTTCGTTTGTCGGAAAAACGTCTTTCAACCAGGACAAAGACCATCGCACGCGTTGAGCCAAGTTCACGACAGAAGATGAGGGTTAAAAATAGAAGGCTAAGTAAGGACATCTTGTCCCGCACCCTTATTCCACGGGCTCTCATCCCAGGCGGCCTTTTTTTATTCAATATTGCAAATCGCCGTCTCCCTATCCGTGCGCGTATCGCCCTCCTCTATCGTCGTGCAATATCAAACTCAATAATGCTCACCGTTCGATTCGCTGAAGGAAAATTCGTGCGAAGCGAGTTTGCCACTCGTTAGCGATAAAGCGTATCGTGACGCATAGACTCGTGCTCTCAACCTGTATTTAGCGCGACTTCTCAGCTTTAAATCTCACTGACACGTTACGTTATAAGTAGAGTTTTCCTTAAGAGTTACTCTAATAAAAAGTATCTAATGTCCAAGTTCCACGTGCAGCTTGTTTATAATATAATTCATGCAAATAATATTGTATCCTTTGTTGAAAATCAGTGGAAAAGCGGCGTCCGATAAATATAAAAGATTAGCCAATTACGTAATCGACTATAGGAATCCGCCACCGGTTAATATTTTTCGTCGCCGAAGGTCCAATTATGCACACGTGTTGCATTCTAAAAGGAGCAATCTCAAGTCCGATGAATCGATCGTGCAAAAATGCCATTGAGTCTCGCATATATATCTCTAGTACCTGACATTTGCTTTTCTGAAGCACGTTTTAAAAATTGCTAACTTCATCGATCATGTAACTCTGCAGCTTTATTTTTACATAGAGATGTTACACGTGTTATGCTCATATATATATTTATTTTATAAAAAGTGATCTTTATATTTCGACAAAAAATTATTACAGCAAAAAGCCGCCGCATTTATCAGTTGTAATTACATTGTTCATATCAAACTTTTAATTAATTAATAAAATTTATGTAAAATTCTGCTGTACGCAATTATTCAATATATCAGTTTTACTTCAACTTTTATCATGCAACTAATGCGACTAGTTTGCAACTTTTAACTGCCAAATTTTTATGCAGATCACAGATGAAATATATATTGGTTATTATGTCATTCAACAGATTTTATCACTTATATTTATGTTGTTGACGAGTAACGTGGCTTAATGATTCTATGAAAAACTTCACACTTCGTGTCATTTTATTTTTACAGAATTGCATCGTGTTATCTAACACATGCGCTGTTTGTTATCAAAATACATACATTCCACCATGCGACGTTATTAAACTGTCTCCATCTCTTTTACAGATAAGTCAACCGGAGAAAAAACAACAGCATTTGACGTAAGTATTGATCTTTTTCGTAATATAAATAATTATTAAAATATCTATTCGAAAAAATGCAGATATCTCATTCTCCAACAAATAAATTTATTTTACTCTTGAACATTTCACATTAATGACCTATTTAAGCAATCATCAACATTTACATAAATGAAGACATATCTTCGACGTACACGCCATCGTAAGCATCGATCCATAAACAATGATTCATTGTTAACATTAACAATTCAAGCAGTCTAAACGATAATGCTCATTCGTTAGGATTCCTACACACAAATATTCTTTTATTATTACGATATAGATTTTAATTTTATATCATCTATCGCGTATTCTCAATATATTCTTTATAAATAATTCATATTCATATTTTTTATATGCATTTATCCAACTTTCATTTCAAACAATCTCAAAGAGAAAGCGTCGATAAAAAAAGTCGCTTCGATTCAGAGTCTGTTCTGCGTCTCATCATCTTTTAATTCTTTCCTATTAATGTTTGTCCCACTTTTGCACAGATTCGCGTTCATATTGCACTTATCGCTAATTGCGATCGCCTACGTTAATCGTACATTTGGTTCCCGTTCCGTAAGTACATCCGATACGAACGTGCATTATTGAATTCTGAATAAAGTTGAAAATTTCACCATTAAATATTAAACCAGGATAAGAATAGAGACGACACAAATTTGGAAATGGCAAGTTGCGAAAGATTGATTATTGAACAATCTCTTCAATTAACTCGAGATAAATCGGTACAGATCACAGAAGGTTTCTTTAATTTTCTATTTACAGCGAGTCGCGTCAAGTGTAATCTATGTTTATTCACGAAATCATTTCTATTTTTGTACGACGGGTAAATCTGCCTGTCATTGGCAATTTACACTTGAGCGTTCAAAATCGATTCTTGTACATTCGCTTGAAATTCGCTCAGATTACGCTCGAAACGAGTTCTCAAATTTGCAATTCGCTCTTGTTATAATATTACGGTCCGCGAAACGTACGTAAGAACTGAAAAGGGAAGAGAATTGCGTTTTCACGCAACAATGATTTATAACGAAGTCATTAAAAACGGTTGTCGCGGATATCACGCTTCGACGATTACGTGTTTCTGTAAATATATGAGAGTAGTATCAAGCAACATGCATATATTTGTTTTTCTTCGAGTCGCATAATTATTTATTCGAATAACACGTAACTGGACGTCGTTTCTTTCTTGCACGTACTGACGCTAAACTAAGAAAGATATTGTTATGTATATTTTGTACAATGCGGATGAGCTAGCTGAAACAAGTAAGCTAGTCAAGTATTCCCTGATTATCTTCAATAATTATTCGCGTAACTGCAAAACAATTTTCCTTGAATATACACTCAAAGTAAAATATTATCAATATGATTTTTGCAGAGCTCAATAGTGCAACATGGTACCGCTGGCAAGACCCCTACGGGGGTATCAAGAAACAAATCGGAACGGGAGAGAAAGATCGGGCATCGAAGAGTTGGTGTGGGAGGTGAAATCACATATAAGAAGGTATGTAAGGAATTTCAGTATAGCGCTGTATATGGCGCTTCTAATAGGTGATTTCTTCAGATAAAGATTTTTGCCTTGCAATCAAAGTTAAAGGCTGTTATTAAGTAAGAGGAAAAGAGTTCATAAGACTATATTATTTAATTTATACTCTATTACTTCTCTGAATAGTGTGAGTGATAAGATCTTTCGCTGTAAATGAAAGAAATGTGCTACTTCATTCAGCCGTCAATGAGTGTATTTATCTGCAAGTATCTCTTTGCTGATTTAATCACCTAACAAGCTTATTACGTGAAAGACTAGATTTACACTGTTAAACGACTTAAGACCGCGTTATCGTTCGTATTATATTACAAATGAAATATCTTCAAATGTGAAATTAAATATGTATATCTTATTTGTGTTATGCAGATCCAAACCACACAAATTATGGGATCTATCCAACTGGGTATACAACATGCTGTTGGTGGTCTTGCGAGCAAACCCGAACGCGATTTATTAATGCAGGACTTCATGACGGTGGAGACAACGAACTTTCCTAGCGAAGGATCAAATCATACTCCAGCCCATCATTTCTCGGAGTTCAAATTTAAAAATTATGCACCCATTGCATTTCGTTATTTTAGAGATCTCTTTGGCATTCAACCAGATGACTTTTTGGTGAGATCAACTGGAAATCTCTCTCGATAAAAACTGTAATAAATATCGATCGCACGCTAACAAGATTTATAAATTTAAGATGTCGATGTGTAGCGCACCACTGCGCGAGTTATCAAATCCTGGCGCTAGTGGGAGTATCTTTTATCTGACGGATGATGATGAATTTATCATAAAGACTGTGCAACATAAAGAAGGGGAGTTTTTACAAACTCTACTTCCAGGATATTACATGGTATGTTTTAAAAGCAGAGAGAAATTCAAATACGATACAATATTTTTTAAATAGAGGAAATTTTGTAATAATGTTATTTCACTTGCAGAATCTAAATCAGAATCCGAGAACGTTATTGCCAAAATTTTTTGGATTGTATTGCTATCGGTGTAATAGTAAAAATGTTAGATTAATAGCTATGAATAATCTTTTACCTTCATCTGTAAAATTGCATCAAAAATACGATTTGAAAGGATCTACATATAAAAGAAAGGTTTGTAACATTGCGCATATTTACGAATGATGTACTAATGCGTGGAACTTTACGATTACACCGTGTTAAAAATTCTAGGCATCAAAAACAGAACGTTCGAAATCTTCTCCAACGTATAAAGACCTAGATTTCATAGAGCATCATCCGGAAGGCATCTTTTTAGAAGCTGATACGTATGGTGCTTTAGTTAAAACTATTCAACGGGATTGTCGTGTGTTAGAAAGTTTCAAAATCATGGATTACTCTTTACTTGTTGGAATCCATAACCTCGACCAGGCAGCGAAGGAAAAAGCAGTGAGTATCGTGTGATATTTTTCACATTATGTAAATACTGATATTATTTATCTACATGTTACATATATTGTATTACAGCAAGAGCAAAGATTATCGGCAAGTGCTGATGAAGAAGTTGGGGAGGTAACTGAAACTGACGGATTTATTCAAAGCGAAAGAGAAAAGGAGAGAGAAGATAGAATAGGTGCTATCGCTCTGAATCGATCGCGTAGTATAAATCGTCAAAGGCTGGTTGCTCATAGTACAGCAATGGAAAGTATTCAAGCTGAGAGCGAACCGATAGATGAGGAAGATGATGTACCGTAAGTATTAATATTTATACAATTCTTTCTTAAATATATTGATATCTTTGTTCAATCATAACAAATTTCACGTTTATGTTCCTAATAGTTCAGGCGGCATTCCTGCCAGGAACGCGCGTGGTGAACGTCTATTATTATTCCTTGGTATTATCGACATTTTGCAGAGCTACAGGTTGAAGAAAAAACTGGAGCACACATGGAAATCAATGATACACGACGGAGTGAGTGATATATATATGTAGATACATGTACCAGTATGTAGATTTCTTATATAATCTAATTCTTCGAGTCTTTCTTTTATTGATCTCAACGGCCTACTGCAATATTAATATAGAAAGAATATTTCTCTCGTTTTCTCAGGATACGGTATCGGTCCATCGGCCAGGATTTTACGCGCAACGTTTTCAAGATTTCATGGCCAAGACAGTATTCAAGAAAATACCATCACGTAAGTACCATCCGAATCAACCTGTCCTAACAACTCTGACTACAAGGTTACACTCAGCAAAACTCACTAATTTGTGAGTGAATTCACGCTTACCTATCTACCCCGGTAGCTATTGTCTTCTGGTTGATCACGGCAACTCATCGTATTATACAAGAAATAATCGATTTTCTTATGAAAGTATATGGCAGGAAAAAAAATATCAGCTTTAACTGGGATAATTAGTCAATGCAAGATATTTTAATTATGAAGTAATGAAAATTATGACTTCTTATACTAATGGTATTATTATAGTGATTCAACCATACGCAATGCTATCAAATTGTAC